AGGTCTCCTCCTTGTTCTCCATCCAGCTTCCTTCTCTTCTTCTCTTCTTTTTCTCTGCTCAGCTCCTGGGTGGGGCAGGGAACCTGGAACTTCCCCTTTTCCTAGGGACCCCCCTGTTACACAGGCACTAGGTGGGCCCATAGTCCCGTGTGTGAAGGCTGCTGGGAGGAGACGCACCTCGATGCTCAGCTCCCTGCCCTCCAGCGTGGCGTTAGCAGCGAGCCCACTGTCCTAAGCACGTTCCCTGTACTTCCCCACTGGTTCTCCCAGCAGCCCTATGAGGTGGGTGCTGTTGTTACCCTCAAGTGACAGAGGAGGAAACTGAGGCGCGGGGTCCCCTGCTGGGGTGGAAGGACTAGGATTCGAACTCAGGCCGTCTGCTCCTGTATCCTGCACCCTGGCTCTTCCCTTGACCTGCCCGCCTCTCTACAAACACTTGTATTTGTTTAATCAGAATCCACCATAAAGACCAAAAGAAACAAAAACAGAAAAAAAGTCCTGCCCAAGCCAACAAACACTGCAGTTGGAAGTCCATGCCACGTTAATCCTGAAAGTCTGCTTCTGCTTTTTCTTGGTTAATGTTAGAGCTTAGGGCCAGGGGCTCTGTTTTCATCCTCATTCCCTCCAAAGAGGCCACTTCTTGGTGCTGCAAGGGTATTGGAGGTCCTCTATGGCACTTTAGCCAAGTACCCCTTCTTCTGTTCTTGATTACCTCCAGTGACTGGGGTCTTACTCTTCAACATTTAGCTCATTTTTAGAAAGTTCTTCATTTAAAAATGAAAATCAGGGCCCGCTCTGGTGTCCCAACGAGTTAAAGCGCAATGCTATGGAGCTATCACAGTCACTGCAGCATGAGTTCCATCCCCAGCCAAGGAGCTGACCCACACGGTGTGGCAGACCTCTCCTGACCCGCCCGCTGCTCCCCTCAGCAGCGTATTTCAGTAGGTCTGCCTGTTCTGCTCCCCACTCTGTCTGTGGTGAAGCCTCTCACCCCCTGCACCGCTGGCCTGTACCCCAGTTAAATATTTATTTATTTATAAATAAATCTATATATTTCTATATAATATTTATATATTTATGTATATAAATATTTATACATACTGAACTGGGGTACAGGTGTAGGGGGTGAGAGGCTCCACCAGAGACAGAGTGGGGAGCAGAACAGGCTGACTGACAAAGTACACTGCTGAGGGGAGCAGCGGGCAGGTCAGGAGAGGTATGTGGTGCCATGTGAGTCACCTCCATGGTGGGGATCGAACTCGTACTAAAGCGGCTGTGGCCAGCTTGCAGTGCTGAGTCCTTACTCGTTGCGCCATCAGAGGGGGCCCAGTAAATAAATCTTAAAAAAAAGAAAACCAGTGCTATGATGCAGTATCAAGGTCGGGGGGGCGATGCTGTGGGGGTGCAGTGGCCGAGGCTGAGCTTCCATCGAGCTTGGGCCTGTGGGGAAGCAGGTCGGCAGGTCCATTGGGACACCGACCCGATGAGAGATTGGCCTTCCTGTCCCAGGCCTGCTGCCCTGCCCTCAGGAGGCCCCAGTGCACCCTCGACCACTACGCAGATCTCCCCAAGGCCTCGCAGTCCCTCTCTGAACAGGCCGGGTGAGAGCACAGGGCCACCCCCACATTTGCCGCTGGGCAACCTGAGGCCCAGAGGGAGCAGGGGCCGGCTGAGGTTCGCACAGGGAGGGGCGTTGGAGAACAGACTTGGCTCAGGGCAGGCAAGTTTAGGGGATTCTTCCCCATCCTCAGACTCCAGAGGGAATTCTGGATTGATTCTAGGGCCTTCAGCACCCCTTGGAGCATAACTGGAACTAGTGTCCCTAGTCTGTCCAACTTCACCCAGGCTCAGCAAGCCCTGACACGTCAGTTACCTGCCTCTCCCGATCGTGCCCGTCATCCCAAAGAGAAGGCAGAGAAGTGAAGTCACCTGCCTGAGGTCACAGAGTTGGTTGGGGGGCCAAACCAGGCCCTGAATTTGGGTGGGGAGCCCACCCTTAACTGGCCTCACTTGGACTTTGGGAGAGTTGAAGGATATTTTACGTCTGAGAAGAGCTTAGCCTTTGGCCTGCCGGCGCCAGAGCCACTGTGCGCTCTCTTTCTAATCATGTTTTCACAGCAGCCTGAGGAGTCTGCTTTGTCCCTGCTTTGCAGGTGAAGATGCTGAGGCCCAGAGAGAGGAAGTGACTTGCCTGGTGTCACACAGCAGGGTGAGGTGGAGCAGGGCCTCTAGTCCAAAACCCTCGACGGCGCTGGTGTTCGTGCTGAGACCCCAGGCTGCTTCCCAGGTCCTCTGGGACAGCGCCCACCTCCCCCCAGGTGAGATGCTGATGCGAGAGGGGCGGCCATGATGGTGGGGAGACCCTGGACAGACTTGGTGGGAGCTGGGGCCCGCCAGGACCTGAGGACAGGGAAAAGGGAGTCAAAAGAGGGGCGAGGCCTCAGTAGACAGCTTGGACTCGGTCTTCTCTGTGTTTCCCACTGTCTACACCTCCCAGGTGTCTGGCTTAGAAGTCGCCTGACTCTTGAATAGTCCCACAGTCACACATTCATTCAGCTGTTTATGAGCAGCTACTGTGCACCATGACTGCTAGTCCATGGGAGCAGCAGTGGATAAGACAAAGGCTGATGACAATTATATAATCCCTTGACATTAAAAAAAAAGTCAAAACTGGATTTTGGTCAGTCAAAAACGGTTATTAAGGAGAGGCGCAAAAATCAGGGAGACTTCAACCAATGAGAGAGGATTTGGAATGCTTCTGCAGGAGGCCACATTTGGGCTGACCACTGAGGGGCGTGTGAGTTGCCCTGGTGAAGGGACCAGGGCAGAGCCTCCCGCGCACAGGGAGCAGCGTGTGCAAAGGCTGGAAACGCCCTTTTTGGAGAAGGGCCTTCGGCAGCCTCCTGCTGCCTTGCCACCTCTGTTGTAGCTTTTGGTCTCTTCCCGGTGTTACACAATTTCATTCAGTCTTGTACTCACCCAATACACCTCTGTAAGCCCTGTTCAGGGTGTCACATGCCAGGGCCATGACTCATATACTGTCTTTGACCGGGGACAGAAACCGTGACTGGGGAGACACTACGAAGGCCAATGCCGATTGCAGGGTGTTTACTCTGTGCTTGGCCTTGTGCCAGGAAATCCTTTATAGGTGCCATGTTACTCCCATTTTGCACATGAAGCCTTAGTTGAAGCTTCAGGCAGCTAACTCACATGAGGAGGCTGGTACCCTTCTTTGGGCCTGATTCCCTGTCTGTGGGATGGAATGGGTGGGGGTGGCGGCTGCTTAGGGGCCCCGGGCGCAAGTATCTCCCTCACCTAGATCCTCTCTCACCTCCAGCAGGACCATGGGCAGCAACAAGAGCAAGCCCAAGGATGCCAGCCAGCGGCGCCGCAGCCTGGAGCCTGCCGAGAACGCCCATGGAGGTGGCGGGGGTGCCTTTCCCACCTCACAGACCCCCAGCAAGCCGGCCTCCACCGATGGCCACCGTGGCCCCAACACGGTCTTCTCCCCTGCCGCTGCTGAGCCCAAGCTCTTTGGAGGCTTCAACTCCTCAGACACGGTCACCTCCCCGCAGAGGACGGGCCCGCTGGCCGGTCAGTGGGCCTGGGGGTGTGGATGTGGGGTGCCCTTGCCATTCTGGCCAGGCCCAGGCTGCTCTGCTAGCTGTGCCCCCTGGGACAGAGAGGCCCCCTCTGTGGGGTTGCTTTTTCTTTCACTCAAGGGGAAGAATTGTCTAGGTTATTGAGGGTTTTCTGGAGGCTAAGGGTGGAGAAGGGCTTATAAACTGGAACGTGTGGGGCACGCTCCATTGCCTTTTGGGGTCCTATCAGATGCAGCGTATAAAAGGGTATCGTCCTGTGCAGTCTGTAGGACTGTAGGTGTGGAAATGAGGTCCAGAGAGAGGGGAGCTCTAAGTCAGGGTCTGAGGGGCTCAGGGCAGGTCTGAAGCTCTTGCCGCATGGTGCAGGCTTTGCTCTGTTTAGCAAGTAGAAATGGGTCAGGACTGATAGCTGCCAGCCTGTGGCTGGGACGCTGGCTAAGAACAAGAAGAGAGCGGTCTTCAGAGCCAGGCCCACAAGGACGTGGGCCCCTGCGCCCTCCGCTGGCACTTTGGGGGTATGGCACCCGCAGGCAAGAAGTGCTTGGAGAGCCGCAGATGTGGTCCAGGAGACTGACGTAGGACAGGAAGCAGGCACATCCCTACAGTCACACACGCAGTCAGCAGCAACTCATACCCAGGATACAAACACACGCTGGGCTGGAGGTGCGGTCACACACACACACACACACACACACTCCACACCCAGGGATCCGTGGATGTGCACCCCCAAGGCCCAGGCACATCCCCAGTGCAGCGTGCACAAAGACATCGACGTGCACAGACAACTCCTGCTCCCCGGGGAAGCTACACACATGCAGCCAAACCCCGCAGCACACGGACACGCGCGGCTGGGAGCGCCACCCCCGACACGCACAGGCTCCCAGGTGATGGGCTGAGGGCAGGTGGTCAGGGCACTCGCGGCACCTCATAGACACCCAAGTGCAACTGGGAGTTTGTGGGTGCTCTCCGCGGGCCGGCCTGGTACCCTCTGCCCGCATACCTGGCTCGCTGTTCTGACGGCCCCGCCCCTCTCCGCAGGTGGCGTGACCACCTTTGTGGCCCTCTATGACTATGAGTCAAGGACAGAGACTGACTTGTCCTTCAAGAAAGGGGAGCGGCTCCAGATTGTCAACAACACGTGAGTCCCCCCCCCTTCCCCAAGGCCCTTTGGCACCCTGGTCCCTGGGCCGGGTTTGGGTCAGCAGGGAAGGGCAGCAGGCAGAGCTGAGCATCCGGCAGACTGCGGGCGGGGAGCTGGCCTGGGCTCACCGCAATGATGTGGGGTGGGCTCTGGGCTCTGGGAGGGCCCCGGGGCCAGGGTCTGCCTTCAGTAACTGGTCAGCACAGCACAGCACCCCAGTTCCCACAAGAGCATGTAGTCAGGGCAGGACTGGGTCCAGGACACAAGACTGCAAAAGAGCAGAGCCTGGAGCCAGACTGTCCCCACAGAGGTGCCCTCATCAGTGACCTCGGCTGGGGGGCCGGGCAGCTGGCTAAGTCAGAGCTCCGGCTGTAGGGCAGACTCCACAGAGTGTTGGGGACCCATCTTAGGGATCTGGTGTGGAGGGCATCTACATACCCAGCATTGGGGTGAGCCCAGCTGACCTATGGAGGGAAGTATATGGGAGGGAGTGAGCCAGTGAGGGGTGGCTGGGGCTCTAGCCGTGGGGTGCGGGTCCTTCCCGTCCTCTCCTCTCTTCTCTACTCCTTTCCCTGCCAAGAGCGCACTGGTGCAACATCTGTTATGGCTGGGGGTGCAGGCTTCGGGTTGTACACCCAGAGGTGGGGCTGTGGGAGGCTTCCCAGTGTAAGGGGATGAGACTCATCCCTGCCACACAGAGGGCAGGGCACAGGGCACAGCCTGCCAGATTCTGGACCTTGGCAGAGTGTTCCCCTCCCCACCCCCAACTGTGGGGACCCTTCTCCCACTTCCTGGCCCATGCTTGCTCCTTCCAGCTCTCTCTCAGCTTCTTCCTCTCTCTGCTTCTCTTGCTGGCCATTAGGAGGAAGGTGGATGTCAGGTGTGTACACACTTTGTGGGCGCTGGGCTGGGCGGGCAGGGCTGGGGCTGGGCTGCATGTGCTTCTGTGTCCCTGCCTGCGGTCTCTGGCTCCCCGGCTGCGGCCCCATCAGCTTCCCCGGCTTATGCCCTCCCACCCCCAAACAGTTTGACTGAGACTGGGAGGGTCCTCCCATCACCCCTGCCACTCCCATCACACGTCCTCCTCATCCACCTTCCTGTGAACTCCTCCCCTTCTGAGCCATCGGCCCAGACTGAGTGCCAGCTGCATGCCGGGTCTGTTGCTGGCCCCCGTGAGGCCTGGTAGAGGAGGCCTCGTCCATGTCCCCTGGGAGCCAGCATGCTGCTGGGAGCCAGGCCCAGCTCAGCCAACGGCTGTCGGAGCATAGGGCCAGGGCTCTGGCATTGGCTGTGTGGCCCCCTCTGGTGGTGACCACAGGGATGGGGAGCTTCAAGCAGGTCCTTGAAGACAACAGTGAAGTCAACGGGAGGAGGTGGTGGAAGGCAAATCCTTTGTAGAGGGGCAGTTTGAGGGAGGGTGTGACTAGGAGGGGGCTGGGTGGGGTGTCTTCAGGGACGTGGAAGATCAAGGGGGTTCTGGACATAGGGTGGAGTTGATCCCTGAGCTTCCTCAAAGGCCTGGCTAAGGAGGGTGGACATCTCCACCTTCTCTCAGCATGCTCATGCTCCCTGCCCGCAAGCATGCTGCTGCCTCTGCCTGAAGTCCCCTGTGTCCCGTGTGTCTGGCAAACTCCTCTTCACCCCTCAAGATCCAGCTCAGGACGGCCTTCTCGGTGAGGCCAAAGAGAGAAGCGGTCCCGAGTGCTGGGCCAGTGCGCTGGGCCATGTCCTCGCCTTTGCTGTCGAGGCAGGCCTTCCAGGGCTGTAGTGTTAGGGGAAGGGCTGTCTCCAGTTGGAAGATGAGGAAACTGAGGCTCAGAGATGTGAAGGCCCTTGCCCACGGTCACACAGCCACCAAGCTGCAGAGCCAGGATTGGAACCTGGGCAGCGGCTCTCTCCCTTCCTCCGGCTGCTCTTCCCGCCGGGAGAGGCCTCCCCAGCTTTCAGCCAGCTGCCTCTGACGTATCTGCATCCAGTGCTCCTGAACTTCTCTGTGGTGCCAGCTGCTGTGTCTGCCTCCCCCAAACGGGGGTTCCTTGAGGGCTGCTCTCAGGCCACGTTTCCAGGTCCCCACATAGCACCCTGGGGGTGCCCTGCTGGTGCTGGTGAACAAGAGGAAGGAACAGGAATGAAGTAGCCACTTACACTGTGCCCTGCATGGGGAGGGCTCATGCTGCGTGAGCACTTTTAGTTGTGTTGTGGAACTGATGTTTCACCACAGTCCCGAGAAGTGGAGATTCTCACCTGCTCCATTTTACAGATGAGGAAACCGAGGCCCAGAGGGGTGGGATAATTTGTTCAAGGTCACACAGCTAGTGGTGGCAGGCCTGGGAGGGGCAGGCAGGCCATCTGGGCCTCAGGGCTGAGGGAGGTGCAGGAGGGAGGAGGGGGTGTGGCCATGCAGGGGGGATGAGGCAGGATGGTGGCCCGGGGAACCTCCCCCATGGTTATGGGGAAAGGTCGGGATCACAGCCTGAGCACAGGGATGGTGCAGAAAGGCTCTGAAAACTGAGCCCCGCTTCTTGCTTTTGTTCAGCCTCTTTCCTTCCTCCCTCCCTCCTGCCTTCCAGGGTGAACTGGGGCCTGTTTGGCCTGGCCTGGGGCTGCCAGGAGGGCCGGGAGAGATGGGAGAGATGGGCTGGCTCTGGGAAGCCCTGGGGTGGACAGTGAGGCTCTCTGATTGGAGGGTGGGGGGCAGTGCTCAGCTGCCCTGTCACCTGAGGTAGTTGTCTGCAGTGGGGTGGTGGACAGCTGTGGGGCGAGGGGGCAGCATTAGAGGAAGAGGAGGGGTAGTGAGCTTGGGGCTTAGTGAAAAACGAATCAGCTCAATTTGAGGTTCCCAGGCCGCAAATTTCACCAGGAAGTAACCCGCATGTCCTCCACTGTTGCTGGGTCATGCTTTGTCACTGTTCTGGCCTCCATCCCCACGAGCCCCTACCCTGGGTGACTTGGGGCTAGCCTACGGCTGACTGGGTGTCAGGGAAGATGGGGAACTTATGGATGAGGCCATGTCTAGGGATTTGGCCAAGGCTGGCTGGGTTGGGGTCTTCATGAAAGTAGGCCTGCCACCTGGATCCCCCCGTCCTGCCACCATGCTCCCCCAGTCCTGCCACCTTGCTCCCCCCATCCTGCCACCTTGCTCCCCTGTGCTGACACCTTGCTCCCCGAATCCTGCCACTTTGCTCCCCCCGTCCTCCACCTTGCTCCCCCCATCCTGCCACCTTGCTCCCCAGTCCTGCCACCTTGCTCCCCAGTCCTGCCACCTTGCTCCCCCAGTCCTGCCAAATGGCCCAGGTCCTCCGACCCTGGGTTTGTGTGACCGTGGTCTGAGGAAGCCCACTGGGGTCTGAAGTCTGGCTCCTGAGCCCCCCACCGTGGGGCATGAATCCCACGAGTCAGGGGCTCCTCTGGGTCTGCTGGAAGGTGGCCGCTTTCTCCATCCGGATCCCAGCAGCTTTTGGGGGAGCCCTCTAGCAGGCATGGCCAAGACACAGTGTTTCAGCTGACCTCTGCCCCTGCTCTGGGCTCTCCAGGGCTACTCCCAGCACAGGGCACAGGACACCTTCCTCCTGCTCACAACCTGCCCCGGCCTCATCCTGCCCGCACTCTGCAGTGACCATGTGTCCAGGCCTTGGGCCTGTAAAGTGTCCGTCTGAGCTGTGCCCATCTGCCCCACTTAGCTGCAAGCCCAGAGTGTTTCCATGGCCAGTCCCAGCAGCCCAGTGAGCTAGATAAAGGTGGCCAAAGTGCCATTCCCCTGGCCACATGCCAGCATGGTCAGCATGAAGAACAGTGCCCAAAAGGAGGATCCCGAGGCTCAGAGAGGTGAGGTCAGGTGCCTGAGGTCACACAGCTGGAATAGCAGGGAGGACGCAGATCCGCAGCCCTGGGACTCCCTGTGCACTGCTTTCTCCTCTGGCCATACGAGGGGGAGCGATAAGGCAGGGAATGGGTGCGGGTCCATCTCCTCCTCCTGCCCATCAGATAAGGCCCAGGCCCCGGGAAGCTGCCCTGCACAGTGAATTTGCTCAACCTGATGGATTGCGGCTGCTGTCACCTCTGCAGCGGGCTCTGGTTGGCGTCCCTGCTGCATGGGCTGCTCCGAGCGTGTGTGGGGCCTCCCAGGTGGGAGCAGTCCCGGGCTCTCGGCAGAGGCAGCCTCCCAGTGGTCTGGAGGCTCAAACCTGGAACCGCCCAAGGCTGTTGACATGGGCAGGTCAGGCTTGCTAGGCCCGTTCCACAGGTGGGTAGCCTGAGGCCCAGGTGATCATCACCGTAATTCTCCCACCTGCCCCTGGTTGGATGCTGACCGACTCACACGCTTCACCTCCAAGGGAGGGTGTGTGCATATCGCCTTTCTACAGATGAGGAAACTGAGGCCTAGAGAGGACAGGGTGTTTGCCCAAGGTCACACAGCACAGCCTTCGGGGACACTGCCTGAGCAGGTTTGCTTTTTGTCAACATCCTGGAGGGCCCTGCCTGGTGGCACAGTGGGCTAAAGCGCAGCACTCTGCAGCTCTCCACAGCAGCTTCAAACCCCACCCCCCACCCCCCCACCCCGGCCAGGGAGTGACCACAGGGGGCAGGGGGCGGCAGACCTCTCCTGGCCCGCCCGCTGCTCCCCTCAGCAGTGTACTTCGTCATCTGCCTTCTCTGCTCCCCACTCTGTCTCTGGTGAACCTTATCACTGTCCCTGCACCTCTGGCCTGTACCCCAGTTCTGTATGCATAAACAAATAAATCTTTAAAAAAGAATAAATAAAAATATCCTGGATTGGGAAGGGGCACTGCAGAGGAACAGGTTTAATTATTTTTTTTTTAGCCAAACCAAGATAATAGAGCAGGTGTCCAGCTCGTCCATGGGGAGCCCCTACTTTGTGCCAGCCCTGTGCTGGTATTTTACACCCTTGGAGGGGAATGAACATCCCCATCCTGCAGATGTAGAGACCAGCGGGACCCCAGCAGGGTCTGCATAGCACCCACGGGCTTCTCAGGCTGGTGGCCAGGCTGAAGGGGGACCTGGGGCACTCTGCGATCACAGTGTACCTCCATCCTGGCCCTTGTACAATAAGCGCCAAACTGGACCCTGAAGTCTGAAATTCCCACACTCACGTCTGGGCTAAAGTGGGAAGCTGGACGCTGTGGCAAGTCTGAGAAATGTGGGCAGCATTGAGCACCCTTGTTGCTGGCCCTGCTCAGCTGGCCTCTGGGCACATGCTTCTTTCTGGCCTTCCCCTCTGGGTGGGTGCTCCCCCGAGGCCATTCTGCTTGCAGACTGTCTTTGTCAATCTGTCTCGTTTTGTGGCCTCTGCCCCAGACCTCTGCCCAGTTCTGGTAAGGCCGGTCTCCTGTCCCCAGCCTGCTGCCTCCTCCTGTTTCTTATCCTACCTAGATGGCTCCTCAAGGGTCTCTGAGTCTCTAAACGGCCAGGAGAGCCTGCATGGGTCCAGAAGAGCCTGCTGTGTCTGGATGCAGGCATTCGCTCTGCACTGACTCGCTGTGTGACTTGGGTAAAGCACGGCCCCTCTCTGTGTGGATTTTCCCCACTGGTGATATGAAGGCTTTGTACTGAATAATGTCACTTGCTCCCTGTGACTTGAGTCCTTGCTTAATAGCTTTGAGCACATCTCTGCCCTGTTCTGTGCCTCAGTTTCTCCAGCTCTACAGAGAAAGTGCTGGGCTATTCTAGCCTGAGAGCTGTGTGTCCTTGGGCTAGTCCCTCAACATCTCTGAGCCATGGCTCCCTCATCTGGGAGCTGAGACCTGTCTTCCTTCCTTACAGGGTGACCTTGAGGCTAAAGGGGGGACAAACAGGGTAGACACCCCTAGGAGGTGGACGGAAGCCCTGGGCATCCAAGAGCTTCTTTCCTCTTGGACGTGGGCCTTGTGCCCCTGCTCCGTGCCCACCCCCCGCCCCACATCCTGCAGAAACCTCCATGTGAGCTTGTGCCCTGCTCAAGTGCGCTTGCAGCCTCGGACAGCTACGTCAGCCATGCAGCCCTTTTGTTTCACTCCGGCCTGGCCCAGCAGCTGAGTCTCGCGTTTGGATGCTTGCCTCCATTCTGACAGGTCCTCAGGGGGCAACCCCAGCCCTGCTGCTCCCAGACTCAATTCTCCATCTTTAAAATGGGCTGAAGAATACGGGTCAGGGGCTGCTCAGGAGACTGGGAGCCAGGGCTTCTGGTCCGGTTCCAGGCTGTGTGACTGTGAGCAAGGGCCTTTCTCTCTCTGGACCCTGGCGATGGGGAGGGGCCCATCCTGCCCAGAGGCCCCAAGGCAGCCTGGAGTTGAGCAGCTCAGCCAGTCAGCGCACCTTGCACGAGTAGGGGAGCGTTCCTTCTTCTCTGGGGGCAGGAGCCTGGTGTGTGACCTTGAGCAGAGGCCTTTGCTTCTCTGGCTTAAATCTTCCCATCTGCATTGCAGGAAGGGGTAGGAACTGGGCCCTAGTTCCCAGGCAGCCCTTCCCAGTGGCCTCCCTTCACCCCCACAGACCCTCTCCTTCTCCCTTTGGTTGCTCTGTGGCTGCCCCGCCTGGTCCCCCATCGCCCGCACTGTCCCCAGCACCGCCTGGCTCTCCTGCTCTCCCCGCCACTCTTCCTGCCACTCTCACCACCCCCATCTCTGCCTCTTCTTTCCCGTTGGGCTCTCGCTTTCTCCTCCCTCCTCTGTGTCTCTGGACCCCCGCTCCAGCCAGACCTGGTTCACATTCAGATGGCTGCAAAGGTACTTCCACCCCTTCCCCACTCCCCCTGGCCCAGGGGACCTGACCAGACCATGCAGGGGACTCCTCCCTGGCCCTCTCCTTCTCCTCCTGCTCCTCTTCCTCCTCCTCCTTCTCCTCCTCAGGGGCACTTAGTGTAGAAATACCCTGGGCATTGGGGCTCTTTAACCTCAGACCCCTTTGACATGACTGTGTGTGACTTTGGGCAAGTTGCGGCCCCCTCTGGCCTCAGTTTCCCCTCTAGGTGGGCAAGCCGCAGGAGACCTGCAGATTTCAGCTGAGGAGCCCTCTAGGTGTGACCTGTAACTTGTGACAAATGCGAGCCTCATTCTAGATTGCAGGGTTGGTGTTTGGATTGTCATCAAGCCCCACCACCACCCCCAGCCGCCTCCTCTCTGGTCTTCTCACTAGCTCCTAGGATTGCACTTTGGAATCTCAGGGCTTGGGTGGCTTTGAAGGTGGGGATTTGCCATTCATGCCAGGCAGGGATCTTCTCGCCTGTTACAACTTGCTTGCTCCCCAGAGACACGTGCTCCCTCCCAAGGCAGCTCTCTGCATCTTGAGATGATTTAGTTTACCTGGAGGAAGCGGATCCTGTCCCATGACAGTGCCCCTGTGAAGTGGGGCCTCAGGCTGGCCAGGGTCAGCCCTCCCACAGTCCTGGACAAAGCCTGTCTGCATAAGCTTTGGCTAAGAGGCATCTGGGCCAGGGAGGGGAGCGGTTTCAGGCCAGCTGGGCCTAGCAGGCTGCGAGAACCCAAGCTGGTGTCCCTGCGCCCTGGACCTCCCTTGGCCTGGGGGGTGGGGGGGCAGCATTGCACCTGTGAGGACAGCAGGCACCCAGGGCCCAGTACTGATGGCTGCCTTCTCCTTTGCTCCCTGCCCCCTGCTCAGAGAGGGAGACTGGTGGCTGGCCCACTCGCTCAGCACAGGCCAGACGGGCTACATCCCCAGCAACTACGTGGCACCTTCAGACTCCATCCAGGCTGAGGAGTGAGTATCCGTGCCAGTTTCCTGCTGATGTCCTGGGTTGAAGTGGGGGAGTTCTGGCTGCCTGGGCCAGGGAGAGGGGTTGCGGTGGGGGGAGCCTCCCGACTCTCCTCTTCCTCCTGCCCCAGGTGGTACTTTGGCAAGATCACCAGGCGGGAGTCAGAGCGGTTACTGCTCAATGCCGAGAATCCAAGAGGGACCTTCCTCGTTCGAGAAAGCGAGACCACGAAAGGTACACGCACCCCTGCTGGCCAGTGTGGGTTGCCTGAGCTGGGTGTTGCAGAATGAATAGGAGTTTGGTATAGGGGCTGAGGTGGGAGGAGCTTGCCAGTAGATGGAATGGGAGGGTCAGGGTACATTTCGGGATGCTGGATGATGTGGGGTGGCTAGAGGCGCAGCCCAAGATGACGCTTGGCCTCTCTGGCCTCAGTTTCCTCAAATGGGGAGTGGACACAGCTCGTTAGGTGGTCTGAGGGTCGGTTTGTTCCCCAGGCAGGTGTTGAGCAGTGGGCCCCTCTCCTTCCCCTTCTCCAGGGGCCTCTAAGTCCGGGCTGGGTGCTGGAGCCTGGCTTGGCCCTTCTCCCATTAGTGCTGCTGTCCCCTCCCCCCCTGCTTCTCTGGAGCCCTCTGAAAGTGGTTGCAGGCCCCATCACCATGGCAACAGAGCTGGCCCCTTCCTGTGGGCCTGGGGCTCAGCAGGAGACGGGGAAGCAGAGCATCCGTGGCAGACGTGTGCATTTATACACAGCATGTGCACACACGTGTGGGCCCAGGCGTGTGTACGTGTGGGATTGTCTGTGTTGCTGCATGGGAGTGCGTTGTTGCGGGCCTGGGGGCGTGTACCCGTGTGAGCGTGTAGCCGTGGGGCACAGACACGCCTGTGTGTGTGCATGTGTAGCTCAGGTTTCGCTTGGGGCTCAGACCTGTGGCTCTGCTGACACGTGGTGGGCCAGTGCAGGCTTTGGGTTGGAGCCCCGCTGTGCGCTTGACTTGCTGGGTGAGTGATGCCAGGCCAGTTGGTTCCCCTCCTGGCGCCTCAGCTCTTCGCTACACCAGAGAGCATGACCAGAGTGGAGGAGGGCTGGCCTTCCAGCATGATCCCTGTGCTGGAATTGCCCCACAGGGAGGCAGAGAATGTTCTCAGACCCTGGGAGCCTCTACCCCTACCTCTGGCGCTCAGCCTGTTCCCAGATGCCGTCCCAGCTCACAGAGGCTCCTAGCCAGGCCTCCTGGCCAGGAGGAAGCTTCCAGCCAAAGGTTTTTCTAGGCTGAAGGGAAGCGGGGAGGGGCGACACCCGGTGGCCCAGCTCAGCCTCGGCAGCCTCCTGGCCACGCCCAACCTGTCTGGCTGCAGCCTCGGACATCCTGAGCCTGGTGGTCTTCCCAGGGGCGGCCCACCGACAGCGCACGGCTGGGCACACCTGGAGAGGGGCAGCAGTTAGGCCATTCACAGCTCACAGCAAACACTTCCTGAGCACCCACTGCAACAGCTGCCCTTATTTTGGGTCTCGCTGAGACTTCCCAGCAGCCCTGAGAGTATCCCCACAGGCAAGGCAGGACACTGAGGCCCAGAGGGAGCAAGCGACGTTTGCAGGTCACTCAGTTGGGGCAGACACCTGCACTTTGCAAGTCTGGCCAAGGTCATGCTCTTCTGCTGCGCCCCACCTTGGTGCAGGGTCCTGCGGGGTCCCGAGACCAGTGGGCCCGACCGGCTCTGCTTCGGCCGGGGGCAGCAGCCCTGTCCTTCCTTCCCGCCTGTGTTGGGAGGCCCTGGGGAGGGCCCTCGGGGCGGTGCAGCACAGTGACGGCGGCGTCTGGCCTGGCCTAGGCGCCTACTGCCTCTCGGTGTCCGACTTCGACAACGCCAAGGGCCTCAACGTGAAGCACTACAAGATCCGCAAACTCGACAGCGGCGGCTTCTACATCACCTCCCGCACCCAGTTCAACAGTCTGCAGCAGCTGGTGGCCTACTACTCCAGTGAGTCCGGGGGTGCAGCCCCCCGCCCCCGCCAGGGGCCAGCAGGCTGCAGTGCCATGCTGTGCCCTGTCCCGGGGAGTGCACTCCCCCTTCCCTCTGGCTGCTTCCCTTCTTCCTTTGCCCTCTCCCCCGCTTCCCCCTCCCCCTCCTTTTCTCCTGGTGCCTTCTTCCAACCCCCCCCCACCTCCTTTCTCTTCCTCTGCCACTGCCTGGTGAGGAGGGGGCTGCCAGGAGGCTTGAGGGGAAGAGAGGGGCTTAGGCGGGTGTCATCTATCCCTGCAGCCCTAGGACCCGTCTGAACCGGTTACTGGGAGAGGAGGAGAGGCAGCTTCATCATCTCAGGGGAGGGGAGAACAGCAGGGGAGCAGCTGGCCAGGGTACCCGGCCATAAGCACTGAAGGCCACGGCCAGTGCAACCTGCGTCTGGTCTCGTGACGCCCATGCGGCCTGGGGGCTGTGGCCTGTGTGCAGGTGTGGCCTGTCCTGAGCAGCCCCGCTGTCAGCTGGGCCCTTCCCTAGGTCTCTCTCCACTCAGTCCTGGCCACCATGCTCTATCCCTGTGGCCATCACTGTCGGGTTCATTCTGAACCCTGTTTCCCCAGATCAAGCCCTTCAGGGGTTACTTGCCAGGGGTTACTAGGTGGCCTCCTTGACCTGGGTGGTCTAAGCCCTGCTGGCTTCCACTGACTTCTCTTACAGCACCCCACCCCAGCCCCCTTCCAACCCAGCAGCTCTGTTCCTCTCTCACAACCCTTGTCCAGGCTACACCCCCTGCCCGGAGCGCTGTTCCCTAGTGAGCCCCTCTTCCTCCTGCAGACCCAAGCCCAGGTTCTTGCTCCAGGAAGCCTTTCTGTCCAGCTCACCTGCTGTGCACACAGCTCTCTTCCATCACTCGCATGATCCTGGGAGGTGGTGAGGGGAGTTGGGGGTCCCTCCTGGACTGTGAGGGTTCTAGGGCTGGATTGCGCTGGATTTGTCCCCTGCTGGGTGCCTGGCACCTGCCTCTGACCCTTCCCCCCACCTTCCAGTCTGACCAATGAATGAGTGCTTTGGTGGATAGACGCATGAGGCATCACAGGCCTGTGTGGGTGAAGAATGTAGACACCCGGCCTGGGGGGGCCTTCTGTGTCCCCTGAATCCTGTATGTCAACCACATGTGGGTCTACACGGTGGGACTGGATGGTCCTAGGGCGGACGGCCAGACTGACACCAGCCCCTGCCTCTCCAGAACACGCCGATGGCCTGTGCCACCGCCTCACCACTGTGTGCCCCACGTCCAAGCCTCAGACTCAGGGCCTGGCCAAGGATGCCTGGGAGATCCCCCGGGAGTCGCTGCGGCTGGAGGTCAAGCTGGGCCAGGGCTGCTTTGGAGAGGTGTGGATGGGTAAGACCTTGCCCCTGCCCCCCCAGAGTGACCACACGCCCTCAGGGGGACTTTGGTGTCCCACCTGTGAGCCAGGCGGGTGTCCATCCTGCGAGGCAACTTGGGGACCCGTGCCCCTTCCCTTCACCTCCATGAGTCTCAGTTGCTTTTACTGAACAGTGGGCTGTGTTTCAATGTGGACCTCCCCCAGGGGTAGCTGGCGTGGAGTTGGGGTCTCCCCTTCTCCCACAGACCATGGCACCTTTCTGCAAAGAGCTGTTGGGCTGGGCATGCAACTCCCCAATGACCTGTGCGACCTGGGTCAGGTGGCCTCACAATGAGCCAGCATCCTCCCCGCCGGGAAAGCCCCCATCTGGGAGTGGTGGGTTTGAGAGGAGCTGCAGCCTTAGGAGGGGCTGCTGGGAAGTACAGGGTCCGGCATGTCCTTGGCCAGTTAGCGATCTTCTGTCTGACTGGGGGGAAATGGCGAAACTACCCTTGCCAACAAACCCCATGCTGCCCCAGTGAAGCCCAGACCCTCCTGCAGGGTCCTGGATGTCAGGTGGGCTGGGCTGGCTTGGAGGTCGGTGGCGTCCCCAGAGGCCATTCTGTTGTCAAGATGGTTTGTCTGAGCCTCAGCATTTACTGTGTCGCTGACCTCACTCTCCTCCCTAGAGGAAGAGGTGAGAGGGGAGAACAATCAGGACTGCAGGGACAGCCTGGAGCTGGCCGTCAGGCCAGGTCAGGGCAGCAGAAGGGCAGCGTAGGTAGGCTTGGAGCTGGGGAGCGGAGTGGGGACCTGGCGGCCAAGCGCAGACTCAAAACGCATGACACTGGGCTAAGGCTGTTTTGGTGGAAGCGAAGTTCATTCCTGGCTTGGCGTGCCATGGGAGAGGGGCCCTCTTCCTCCCTGGACCCTCCAGGTGGACCCGTGAAGTGCCAGGTAGGGATCCCCAGGTGGCCCGGGGCTAAGAGGTGGGGCTGAGGCCCAGCACGCAGGTGGAAGCTCAGAGACTGGAAGGAGCCCATCAAAGGGGCTGCGGGCCCCGCTGGGACAAAAACTCAGGGTACACCCACTGATCTAGAACACAGCTCTCCCCACAGCCTGGCCACTTACAAAACAGATCATGGTTAAATGACAGCTGCAGCTGTTGTTTACTACTGAGCCCGTATAGAGGTAGGGCCCAGTGGCTGCAGATGCTATAGTATCCCCATTTGCCAGACGAGGAAGCCCAGACTCATAGAGGCAGCTGACTCACTCATGTCTCCCTGCTGGCAGGAGGCAGAAGTGGGCATCCTGGTGCAGCCAGTGTGACCCCCGAGCCTTTGTACTTAGTTTGACACCTTAGTTTTTGCAGAGTGTGATTCTGTACTCTGGTGGCCTTGATCTGGGGTCAGCTCCGCCTCAGCCTGCTTTAGGGGATATTCCCAGTAACAAAGTTCTAATGACAGCTGCTGTTTCTGCACCATGCACCAAAGACGCATTTAATCCCTGTAACAGCCCCATGAGTTTTGTGCCGATTTTATAGAAGGGAACCCTGCAGGTCAGAAAGGTCCTGGACCTAGGCTGGGCTTGTCACATGGCTAGGGAGGCCAGAGCTGAAATTGGTACCCAGCTGGACAGATCTGGGTCCCTGTGGGGTCTCCGCTGAGGCAGCCTGTGCCCCCTCCCCTACACAGGGACCTGGAACGGCACCACCAGGGTGGCCATCAAAACCCTGAAGCCGGGCACAATGTCTCCAGAGGCCTTCCTGCAGGAGGCCCAGGTCATGAAGAAACTGAGGCATGAGAAGCTGGTGCAGCTGTACGCGGTGGTGTCAGAGGAGCCCATCTACATCGTCACGGAGTACATGAGCAAGGGTGAGCCTGAGTGAGCAGCACAGAGATGCGGTAGCCCCCCTCCCCCCCACCCTGGGCGCCCTGCAAATCGGGTGCCCACGCAGCAGATGGGACACGGCTCTCTCCCCCCAGGTCTAGAATGTTCATCTCTAATGGTGAAATGGACTTGGATTAATTTCTCATGTCAGTGGAACTTTAAAAAAAATTCTTTTTAATTGACGTGACATTGGTTTATAACATGTTGAAGGTTTCGAGTTTACAGCCATCTGTGAGCATCGCTCTATACAGCACCATTCTTGCCACCAAAAGCTTAGTTCCCTCTGGCACTATACAGTTGACCCCTATTACCCGATGTCCTGCCCCTCTCTTCTGGGAACCACTATTTCATTCTTAAAGAGCTTGTTTTGTGTTTTGTTCATTCATCTTCTACATGAGGAGGAGTAGAGGATTCATCATCTGAGTTATTGTCCACCTGACTTTTATCACTTGGCATAGTATTCTCCAGGTCCATCCATGTTTTGCCAGTGGCAAGATTCCAGCTGTTCTTTTTCTTAGCTGAGTAGTATTCCACTATGTATCTATGCCCCATCTTTATCCTCTTTATTCACACACCTGTCATGGGCCTTCGGTTGTTTCTAACTCTTCATTGCTGGGAATAATGCTACATTATTAAATTATGGGTTAATCTACTTCTTCAAATTAGTGTTTTTGTAGTCTTTGGATAGACACCTGGCAAGGGGGTAACTGGATCTTTTTTCATTTTTGTGATTTTTCACAATGAATCTCATCTCCCCCAGTTTGCTGGTTTCTAAAGTTAGTTACCATTTGGGGGCTAAAAGAAAATCCCTCAAACCTTACAAGTGGAGTCACATCTAGGTCAAGTTCCTGTCTTGACCTTACGTGGTTTTAAAATTATTTATTTTCTGAAATTCCACTTTTGGAGGAATAACTTACATGTGAAAAAATACACCTGTTTTAAAAATCCAGTTAATGATTTTAACAAGTGGCTACTCTGTGACTCCATTAACACAATAGAATTTTAAGCATCTCCATTACCCTAGAAATCTCCTTTTGTAGACAGTTCTCTCTAGCCCTAAGTCCAGGTGGCCCACGATGTATTTTCTGTATCATGGATTTATTTATTCTAGAACTTCGCGCATACCATCTTTGCTGTCTGAGGTTCTTCTTTATTGTGTGTGTCAATAGCTTGCTCCTTTTTTATTTTACCTTTTCACTGCTGAGTGATAACCGTTGTATGGCTGCACCAGTTTATGCTCCCAGAGGTAGACTTTTGGTCTTGCTTTTTGAGTGACCAAGTGCTGAGAGAGACTCTATTCAGAGATGGGTTTATATGAAATCTCTGTGCTGGCCAAAGCAAGGCCAGCTGGCCCAGGAGGACGTGAGCTACTAGGAATGACCGTTCCCTGGCCCAGGGAACACAGGGTTGAGGTTAGACCTGCTTTCTTTCTGCCCAGGGAGTTTGCTGGATTTTCTCAAGGGGGAGACGGGCAAGTACTTGCGGCTGCCTCAGCTGGTGGACATGGCTGCTCAGGTGAGTCGCCCCTCCCATCCCCACCCACTGCGGCCCTCAAGTTCCGGCCCACTTGGCTCAGCCGGTTTGGGCTCTTTTGCGTGTCCCCTCCCTCTGCCTTGGCTGCCCCCCCCCCCGTCTCTGATCTTGCCACATGTATTGTTGGAACCCTTACACACACTCTTAAGTGGTAGTTTTGGGCACAGGGAAGAGTCCTGATCTGGGTAGCAAAAGTAACTGACTTGCTATGGGACTTCAGGCCTCGGTTTTCTTCTCTGCGAAGGCCATTTGGTCACTCACAAATGCATGTTTTTAAACTTAACCCTGTCACAAGCAAGGGAGTGGGGTGGATGGATGGCTGTTCTTCCATTTGCTGGCTGAGAAAACGGGGCCTTGGGGCTGGGGCAGCAGACAGGACCTCATACTTAGCTGTGTCTGTGGACCACCCAGGGCCTCTTTTTTGGGGCAGGGTACCCCATTCCCCTGGCTGTATCTGGCCTTGTACCTCTCCCTTGCCTTTTGCTCCCTCCTCCAGCTCAGCCTGGCCCTACTTTTTATGCCGGGGGGTACTTACTGTACACTGACTTCACTGGCCTGCAGGAGTGGGGACGTCAGGGTGTTGGGCTGGCTTCCCACCCCCGGAGTAGCACACGCCCGGGCACACGACCATGACCTGGGAAGATCGCGGGGGGCTGATGAGCCTGGTGTCTGGGCTCTGCCTACAGATCGCCTCCGGCATGGCATACGTGGAGCGGATGAACTACGTCCACCGGGACCTCCGAGCAGCCAACATCCTGGTCGGCGAGAACTTGGTGTGCAAAGTGGCTGACTTTGGGCTGGCCCGACTCATCGAAGACAATGAGTACACAGCCCGGCAAGGTGGGCAGGGTCCGGGCTGCCGTGTGGCCTCTTCTCCGACTCACGTGGGGATGAGAGTGGTGCCTGGCAGCCCTGACATCCTGCTGAGCATCCCTCTGCCTTTCTTCCCTGTAGGCGCCAAGTTCCCCATCAAGTGGACAGCTCCGGAAGCTGCCCTCTACGGCCGGTTCACCATCAAGTCAGATGTGTGGTCCTTTGGGATCCTGCTGACGGAGCTCACCACAAAGGGGCGGGTGCCCTACCCTGGTAAGGGGATTCCCTGCGGTCCACCTTTACTCCCTGTACCCCACTGTCCTGGTGATCTTGGGAAGACACACCCCTTCCCGGGCTTCAGTGTCCCCATCTTACAACAAACGGATTGAACATCTGACCTTGGAGTCTGCTGTGGCCTGGGCTCCCAGCCCAGGGAGGAAGCTCACCTGCCGGCACTGTTCCGGGATGCCCCCTGTGCCGTCCCCGTCAGCTTCCCCCACCCCCTTTCCTCGCTGGAGCCAGTCTCCTCACCCCTCCGTCTGCTCGCAGGGATGGTGAATCGCGAGGTGCTGGACCAGGTGGAGAGGGGCTACCGGATGCCCTGCCCGCCAGAGTGTCCCGAGTCCTTGCACGACCTCATGTGCCAGTGCTGGCGGAAGGAGCCGGAGGAGAGGCCCACCTTCGAGTACCTGCAGGCCTTCCTGGAGGACTACTTCACGTCTACCGAACCCCAATACCAGCCCGGAGAGAATCTATAGGGAGCAGGCGGCGGGCCAGGCTGGCTTCTTGGCTTGGCTGTAGGGCTGGGTGGCCCCCGACAGGGGTCTTGCCGCTCTCTGCCTGCCCACGGTGATCCTCTCGGAGGGACGAGGCCCCTCCCTCTTTTGTGGCATGGATGGGCCTGGGGCCTGGGGCCGCCCACGAGGGTGGGGTCCAAGGCAAGCACAGTGACTGTGTCCTGGCTCCTGCCCCAGCCACGTCCTCCTCCCTGCATTCCCCCCTGGGGCTCGTGTCTCAGCAGGAGGAACTGGGAAGGGGCTGAGGGCGCTCTCTCCAGCCTCGGCCTGCTCCATGCATCGGCTCCTGCCTGCCCTCCAGGCTGCCCCAGGTCTGTCTGCAGAGCTGCCAAAGCGCCTTTCCAAAGAGGCCTGCCTGCCAGTCTGCCCCTGGCCACCCATTTCTGAGACACCTGTTGGTGGGGGCCACCGGGTCCAGACCCCTCTGTCGCAGCTCCCAGGCTGGATAGCCTGAGACCGAGCTTGCGCTGAGGATGGTGGTTGGGTGGGTACCCCCTTCAAGGACTTGAGGGACCTTCGACACCAAGTCTTGTTCCCCTGGCAGTCGTGGGCAAATGAGCCCAGAGAGGAATGTGACTTGTCCAAGGCCACAGAACAGTTCAGGTTGAGGTGGGATTGGATCTCGGTGCTCCCTCTGTCTTCCTCAGGAACCAACAAGATTGTGCTCAGAGGCATCATTGACGGACAGGGCACCCAAGACTTGGGGCCTGAGGGTGGGTTAGAGATAGCTGAGAGAGTCCCATTGCCACTGTCTACTGGGCGGGGCTGTTGTGGCAAGAGAGAGTGGAGGGTGGTGGGGGCTGGGCTAGGAATGAGGGGCCAGGGTGCGGGTTACGGAGACAGCTTCATTCATTCATGGGTGGTCTTCAGCCTTCGGAGATGGTCACCCATGAGCAGGAGTGAGCGCCTTGACTCTGGTGGCAACCAAGCAGAAGGAGAGGATCCAAGTCATCGGGGGGCCCTGGCCCTGGCAGCAGGAAGCTACCCCAAGTTTTTCTCCCCCAATTTGTCCTGTGCCATTTCAATGTTCTCCTCCTCAAGCGGGCACCCCGTGAGCTCATGAGTAGGAAAGGGGGCGCCTAGGTCGGGAGGCGCGGCCACCAGGATGTCCACTGCCATGGACACGTGTGCCAGGGCGCGGTGAGACCTCGTGGGTCCCCCGCTCCGCTCTGCCTCCGTGGTCTGCGCAGCCGCCCTGCTCTGGAGCGGGCCCTGTGGCCTGGTGAGCCCGCTCGGGGCGGAAGGCGGCTGTTGTGACCCCAGCTCTGCTGTTCAATTTCGGGGTATGTGGTGGCTTCTCCCTGAGCCCCTGTGCTGAAAGGGACGACTGGCAGTTTCTGAGCATCTTGCCAAGGGCCCCTTTGTGTTCGTGTGTGTGTGTGTGTGTGTGTGTCTCCATGTGTGTCCATATTTAACATGTAAAAATGCCCCTACTCTGTCCCCAAGACACGTTGTACATTTCACCCACAGCCCCCCATCATAGCAATAACATTCCTGCTGCCAGGGGTTCTAGAGCCAGCTGGGCCCTGCCAGCAGGGAAGGAGGCCAAGTGGTGCCTGCCTATGAAATTCCAGCTTTTCCTTTCACACATGTCTGTTACCCAAGCCTGTCCCAGTCCAGTCTGGGCTTGCCTACCCCACTGTGCTCTCAGATCCCCTCCACTTGGCAAGGCCCTTTCTGTAAGACGGCCTAATACTGTCCTTTTTTTTTTTTTTTTTTTT